TCACTATGTTGAGTCTACCTATCCATGAGCAAGGTGTATTTTTCCACTTATGCAGGTCTCTTTTAGTTTCTTTCAGTAGTGTCTTATAGTTTTCTCTGTATAGATCTTTTACATCTCTGGTTAGATTTATTCCTAAGTATTTTATCTTCTTGGGGGCTATTGTAAATGGGATTGATTTGCTGATTTCCTCTCCAAGGTTCTCTTTGTTTGTGTAAAGAAATCGAACTGATTTTTGTATGTTTATCTGGTATCCTGAGACTTTGCTGAAACTTTCTATTAGTTCCAATAGTTTTCTTGTGGATTCTTTGGGTTTCCTGTGTATAAGATCATATCATCTGCAAATAGAGATACTTTGGCTTCTCCCCTACCAATTTGTATGCTCTTTATTTCTTTTTCTAGCCTAATTGCTCTGGCTAGGACCTCCAGCACAATGTTGAATGAGTGGCTTTTCTGCACCATTTCTAACCCCAGGGTGTATTCTTCACACCAGCTACAAGCTCGGGGAGTATAACTATACTTCAAAAGTATTGTCTTACCAGCTCTTTTGTGGTGTGAAGACTGCAAGACTCGCTGCATGAGGGGTACAGAAATTCTCGCTGAATGCCCAAGTTGCTGTATTTTCAGAAAAATAGAAGCACTTTCTTTGGTAACCAATCCAGCCATCTAGGCATGAATTGTGTTCAGTGGAAGATATGTTTTTTTCAACTAAAAAGATTTATAATACATTAAGAGCTGAGGGGGTGGAGGGCTCTTAATTTTCTCTTCTGAGACATAGAATTACCTTTTAACATTTATCTGTTTAGATGACCTTATCAATGGAAGGTGCACAACCAGAAAGAGATCAAATGTTTTCCATCATGAACTTCATTTTTATTCTTGTTGACATAGCCATCTACTAGAAGCGGCCTGGGAAAAAGTACTAACATTTATATAAAAGTATATGGTTTACCACATGTTAGTTCACAGGCTACCCACTCTTTCTGTTTTACCATTCCATGGTGAGATAAGGGACTTGTGGCAGAATGTAAATTAACTATATCACCAAACATGCTGTTTAGTTCATCTGATAAGTTTTTAAAGCAAAACTTTCTTGGTGAAGGAAGTAGTATGATGATTTACATTTTACCACAGATCCATATCTTGTAAAAACTATGAATAATACTGGTTTGAAAGGAAATTTCATATATATTAACTCATTTTTATCTTCACAACAGTGCTATGTGATATTTAGCACAGGTATTATTCTCATTTTATAGAAGTAAGATATGCGTGTTCCATGTACAAATGTCAGGGTTAAATATGGTTAGAAATTACCCATGATAATTGAGCTACAATAGGCACACAAAGGTGAAATATCCTATGTCCACAAAGATGAAATAACTCTAGGAGAGTTAATATGAGCATATGTAAGAAATGGGAAACTCACCTGCTAAAATCGTGGCCAGTGTAGTTACTAGAATCACCAGAAAGGAGATTAGGATGGTTATTTTAGAGAAACAAAACTTCTTTTTATTTGTTTTTGCATGTTCTTGTGAGTCTACAGCAATAGTGGGAGAGATAGTGTCACCTATTTAAAAAAAGTCCTTCTTTTCTAATAAGTCACTTTAATAATGTTCAGGATACAAGCTCAATATAAAAAAAACTGACCATATTTCTGCACATTAGCAATGATCAGTTGAAAATCAAAATTAAAAGCAATAACATTCATAATAGCATAAAATATTAAATACCTATGAATAAAACTGACAAAAGATATGCAAGACACAAGACCTGTTCACCAAAAACTACAAAACATTTCTGAGAGAAATTAAAGACCTAGATAAATAGAGGTAGTGTTTTCATAAGTCAGAAGACACAATATTGCTAAGATATCAGTTCTAGCCAAATTCATCTATAGATTCATCACAATCCCAAGAAAAACCTTAATACTTTTTTGTGGTAGAAATTGGCAACCTGCTTCTAAAATTCACATGAAAATGGAAAGACCTAATATAGCCAAAACAAATTGGAAAAATAAAAACAAACTTGGAGGACGAGTGCTTTCTGATTTCAAGACTTATAAGGCTATAATTATCAATACAGTGTGGTACTAATGTAAAGATAGACAAATAGAGAGAGTTCAGAAAGATACCCACTCGTATATGAACACCTGATTTTTGGCAAAGATGCAAAAAGGATCATATCAATAAGTAGTGCTGGAGAAATCAGACATCTATGTGAAAAAAAATGATCTTCTAGACATACCTCTTCCTCTACACAAAAATTAATTCATAATGGATTATAGACATAAATATAAAACCTAAAACTATAAAACCTCTAGAAGAGAACACAGGAATACGTTGTTGTGATCTTGGACGAGGCAAAGATATTTTCAGTTCAACACAAAAAGCACAATCCATTAGAAAATGATACATTGCACTTCCTTGAAATTAATAACTTCTGCTCTTCAAAAGACAGTGTTAACAAAATGAAAAGACAAGCCAGAGACTGGGAGAAAATATTTGCAAATCATATCCAGAGTATATAAAGAACTCTCAATACTTAGTAAGAAAACACACAACTCGACAAAAATATGAGCACAAAAGTTGAACATACACTTTACTAGAGAAGATTTACAGATATCAAATGAGCACACAAGATGCTCACCATCAGTAGTCATTAGAAAAATGAGAAAATTTAGAAACCACTACATACCTATTAGAATGACTAAAATGAAAACGTCCGACCGTATCAAGTGCCAGAGAGGATGTGGAAGAACTAGAACTCTCATCTACTGCTGGTAGAAATGTAAAATGGTACAACTACATTGGAAATAGTTGGGAAGTTTCTTCAAAAGCTACATGCACACCTATAGTATGATTTATCCATTCTAACCACATGTATTTTCCTAAAAGAAATGGAACATATGTCCATACAAAGACTTCCACATACATTTTTATGGCAGCTTTATTTGTAATAGCCCTGAGCTAAAAACAATCAAATGTCCATCAATGGGTGAATGAATAAATAAACTGTGGTTCATCTATACAATGGAATACTACTCAACAATAAAAAAGGAATGAACTATTGATACCCACAGCAACATAGATGCATCTTAAAATTATTATGTTGAATAAAAGAAGTCACACAAAAAATGAATAGATACTGTATGATTCCATTTATATAAAATTCCAGAAAATGTAAACTGATCTATAGTGACAGAAAGCTGATCTGATGTTATCTCAGGGAGTGTGTGCTGAAATGGGCAGGAGGAAGTGATTGCAATGGGGCACAAGGAAACATTTGGCACAGATGGATAGGTTCATTATCTTGACTGTGGTGATGGTTTCATGGGTGTATTAAAAAAACAAAAAAAATCCCCACTGCTGTGTAGTCGATTCTGACTCATAGCTACCCTATAGGACAGAGTAGAACTGCCTGTAGGGTTTCCAAACCAAGGCTGTAGTCTTTACGGAAGCAGACTGCCACATCTTTCTCCCGTAGAGAGACTGGTTGGTTCGAACCACCAAAATTTTGGTTAGCAGCCAAGTGCTTTAACCACTGCATCACCAGGGCTCCTTTCATGGTTGTATACATACGTCAAAACTCATCAAATTGTACACTTAAATATGTGTATTTTATTGTATGTAAATTTTACCTAAGTAGAGATGTAAAAATTTGTACAAAAATCAGCTGCCCTTTACTCACATAGTTTGGATCTGTTTATAAGATTCTTTGTATAGTAAGCTAAACATAATTTGACATGGACAGAAGAGATGAAAATCATTGAGACACTGCCTCTGTTAGAAGGATTAGTATTCAGAATGGATAGCAGAGAGGCACCAAAATGACTTGCTTCATTCACAAATAGTACCTACAGCCTGTCATACATGCCCTTCTTACCTGGAGACAGGGACTCTTCTGCACATTTGAGCATTATCTCATCGTTCATGTCTGTTTTCAAGTGAAAAATACAAACTGGGAGTATAGTCAACACACTGGATTCAGGATCCCTGCCCTACTTGAATTTAGCTTCAGCAGTGTGTAGCAAGACAATCTAAAATGAAAATAGAATGTTAATATAAAAAATTAGGACAAATATTTCTCAGAAGTCTGACCAATCACACAATTACTTCCCTTTTGACACATACCAGTAAAAAAAAAAAAAAGTTGCTGTTGAGTTGATTCCAACTCATGGTGAGCCAATGTGTTACAGAGTAGAACTATGCTCTATAGGGTTTTCAGTGGCTGATTTTTTGGTAGTAGATTGCCAGACCTTTCATCTGAGGAGCTGCTGGGTGAACTCGAACCACGATCCAAAATTCATTACATTCCACTAGTGTTTGAGTGACCACCAGAGGTGATTAGAGACTCTGAAGTAATTCTTTCAACTCTTGATTCAGTGTAAGGGAGGTGAGGTTCAGTGGTTTATGAAGTCATCAGACTGGGTCTCCACACCATCATCCTGACTTACCAAAATTTTTAGTTAATTTTGACCTTTATGAATCTCAGCCAAAGATCCAAATCTAGATAATTTCATCATAAAGTAACAGCTTAGATCTCGGTGAAAAGCTCATAAATTTGCTCTAATAATGATATAAGAAGAATAATATCTAGCATTTATTGCGTGCTTGCAATATGTTAGGTCCAGTTCTGAGTTTTTAACTTACGTGATTTCATTTAAACTTACAATAATGTTGTCAAATAGAAGCTATTATTATCTCTAACTTACAGATGAAACAGCTGAGACACAGAGGGGTTAAATAACGTTCTTAAAGTAACACAGCTAGTGAGTGTTGGTGGCTATTACCTGGCTCTGTTCACTTAACCACTCTGCTACACTCTACTGCTTCTCTCTGGTCAACCCCATGACCTGAGTGTTCTCACAAGCAGAACTTCTACTTCCAGAAGTAGAAAACAAGCCTCACATTCCACAAAAACGTGTTGTGCTATTGACATTGTTCTACGATGATTGCAATTAGTAATATCATTTGATATAGGTAATAACGAACACATGGATGCCTATATTTCAGTCAACTGCTTGAGAAATAAACAGAATAAGAGAAAGTAATGGGTTGACATTTTTTAAAGTTGCATTATAAGGTATACGGTTCTATCTACTTTGGTATGTTGAAATTTTTATATAGAAATATTAGTTCCCATCTCCACAACACTGTTTTTTAGGAGCCAAAAAGGTTCTGTGTGTGTGTGATATGTGTGTGTCTGTGTGTCAGAGAGAGAGAGAGACAGGGAAAGAGAGAAAGCTATGACTGTATTATATTTTTCAAACCTTTATCGATAGTACAAATTATTCCAATGACTATTAGAAGTTTATACGCTATTCTAAAATCCATAAATTTTGCTTATGTACCAGTGAGCTATTGTCACATTAATGCTATATAACAAACTGTACCCACGACTCTGGCTAACAACAGCATTTCACTCACCAGTCTTTGCGTTGGCTAGGAAAAAAGATCAAGATGGCAGCTACGTGGCTCTGTCTCAAGCTGGGAGTCTGGCTGTGCTTGTCTCCTTGCAAGTGTGTTATACTGAGGCCCAGGCTGAGTAGGCAGCAGCTAACCTGGAATCTCTTCTCACGGAGACATCAGAGACGTAAGAGAGTAAGCCCAATCAAGTTCTTTTCAAGTCACTGTTAACACACCGTTGGCTGAAGCTTACCTCATAGCTGACCACTTAGTCAGGAAATGGGGAAGTGTACTTTACTTGTGGTGAGGGGAATTGCAAGATCGCATGGCAAAAGACTTGAACACAAGAGTGAAAATTTGGGACCATTAATTTTCAAACCTCAGCTTGCTGTAGTAATTCTTCAGAGCTCCTAGCCAAATCTCCACTTTGCTTGTTGTTATTGTTTTTTCAACCTCTTAGATACATTATCTATCTGTCTGTCTGTCTGTCTATCTGTCTATCTGTCTACCTGTCTATCTGTCTATTTGTCTATCTATCTACCTGGCCAACTGACTAGAAGAGATCCATATTAGTACCCATTCCAAAGAAAGGTGATCCAATGGAATGCGGAAATTATCGAACAATATCATTAATATCACATGCAAGTAAAATAATGCTGAAGAAAATTAAAAATGGTTGCAGCAGTACATTGACAGGGAACCGACAGAAATTCAAGCTGGATTCAGAAGAGGACATGGAAGGAGGGATATCATTGCTGATGTCAGATGGATCTTGGCTGAAAGCAGAGAATACCAGAAAGATGTTTACCTGTGTTTTACTGCCAATGCAAAGATACTTGAACTGTGTGGATCATAACAAATTATGGATAACATTTCAAAGAATGGGAATTCCAGAACACTTTAACTGTGCTCAAGCAGAACCTGTACATAGATGAAGAGATAGTTGTTCAAATAGAACAAGGAGATGCTGCATGGTTTAAAATCAGGAAAGGTATGTGTTGTATCCATCCTTTCACCATACGTATTCAATCTGTATGCTGAGCAAATAATCCTAGAAGCTGGACTATATGAAGAAGAACATGGCATCAAAATTGGAGGAAGACTCATTAACAACCTGCGATACACAGATGATGCAACCGTGCTTACTGAAAGTGAAGAGGACTCGAATCACTTACTGACAAAGATCAAATACTACAGCCCGCAGTATGGATTACACCTCAGTATAAAGGAAACAAAAATTCTCACAACTGAAGTAATAAGCGCCATCATGATAAATGGAGAAAAGATTGAAGTTGTCAAAGATTTCATTTTACTTGTATCCACAATCAACACCCATGGAAAGCACCAGTCAAGAAAACAAATGACGTATTGCATTGGGCAAATCTGCTGCAAGAGATCTTTTTAAAGCTTTAAAAAGCAAAGATGTCACTTTGAGGACTAAGGTGACCCAAACCATAGTATTTCCAAATGCTTCATATGCATGCAAAAGCTGAACGATGAATAAAGAAGATGGAAGAAGAATTAATGCCTTCGAATTATGGTGTTGATGAAGAATATTGAATATACCATGGGCTGCCAGAAGAATGAACAAATCTGTCTTGGAAAAAGTATAGCCAGAATGCTCCTTAGAAGTGAGAATGGCGAGACTTCGTCTCATGTACTTTGGACATGTTATCAGGAGGGACCATTACCTGGAGAAGGACATTATGCTTGGTAAATTAGAGGGTCAGCAAAAAAGAGGAAGGCCCTCAAAGAGATGGATTGACTCAGTGGCTGCAAAAATGGGCTTAAACACAGCAACGATTGTGAGGATGATTCGGGACCCCTTCTGTTGTACATAGGGTTGCTATGAGTCAGAACCAACTTGAGGGCACGTAACAACAAGATAAAAATCAAGCTCCCTAAAATGGCCCTTAGTAATTCAGACGGCAAATATATTATCTAGTTCATCTCTCTTGTATCTCTCCCATACTGAAGTTTGCATTATTTTTCAAATGCTCACACTCTTTCATTTGTCCACGCTCTTACCTCTACCTGGTACACGCATCTCCATTTGTCTACCCAGATCAAGTGTTACCTCCATTGAAAAGAAACATTAAATCAGGTAATCACCTTGCTCACACATCTCATACTATCATTTAGGCCCTACATAACTGTTTTATAGAATTTACCATATGGAATCATACTTTTTTTTTCCTATAAGCTCCAAGATGAAAGCAAATGCATCTCATTCATCTTTGTATCACCACACAGTGATTGACCCAAAATAAAGTGCTGAAACCAGTGTCTGATGAATAAATAAATGAGTGAATATTCTAGACCTTTTTTAGTATATGTCAAAGGAAAGGAAAGACTGTTGTTCCTCAAGCTCCTGCCCACCACCATCTTCCTATTAACATTGTGTTTGGAGTGTTCTAACTTCTGAAGATGAAAAATACGTTATACAATATTGGAGTAGGTACATTTCCCCTTCAATTGTATCACTTTTCATATTTTCTGAATAAATGATTGTTTGCTCACCATGCCTAATCATTGCTTTTTGAGATATTTTTATGTTTGTTAATGGAAAGCATCAATGCAGTTATTTTAAGGTTTCTAACTTATAAAATAATTTCTTAATTCTTCATGAGAAGTAAACTAATCAGTTTGAAATTTGGAAACTCTTGTCAAGGGCAGACATCTTGTTGACAGTATACAATTAGCACTGTTCTAGGCACTGAGCTTCTTAAAAAAAAAAAGAATCAAACCGAAGTACATGTTACAAAGTTCTTAAGCTTCAAGGGATTCATAAACCATATACAAAAACTGTGTTGTGTGTGTGTGCATGTATGTATGTGTGTTTGTGAGCATGCTTTTTTATTTTTCTGAGCTGAGGGTTCATTTCATTAGCCTGATTCTTAGAGAGCCTGATTCATATAAGAGGTCTTTATCAGTTGTTAGTAACCTCAAGTCGTGGATTCTCACATATGTTTCTCTTTTAAAATTTGTCTCTCCATTTATTCTTTTAAAACTAAAACAAACAAACAAACAAACTCATAGTGACCCTACAAGACAGAGTAGAGCTTCCCCATAGGGTTTCCAAGGAGTGGCTGGTGGATTTGAGCTACTGACCTTTTGGTTAGCAGCCATGGCTCTTAACCACTGTGCCAATTAATCTTGTTTATTCCACTCTTCTTTGTTTCCACTGAAACTTATCACATAGGAGACAGATAATTTTAGGATAATTTCCAGACGTTTGTCTTGGATTATGGGATGGATACAGTGTAGTGGATATTTAATCTTTATTATGTCAGATGTCCAGCAACTGAAACACTTTCCTTTCCTTAAGCAGTTTTCCACCATATGAGTGAGGATAGCAGGCTAGCAGGCAAGCCCTTCTCCCTCTTTAGAAGCTAAAAAAGGTTTTTCATCTTCCCAGCCTCCCCTGGAACTGGGGAGGCAAAGGGCCCAGTCCGATGCACCTACCTCTAACCCAGAGCAGGGAGCTATGAAAAGCAGCAGTGGAGAAGTCAGTCTCAGAGGGAGGAATGGTAGCATCACTAATATCTAGAGTCCAGGGTACTGATAATGCAGAAAATGTTTCAAGTGGTGTTGGAAGTGTTTGTCACCTGCAGCTAAGATCAGAAATACAGAGGAATAAATTTGGTTGAATAGTGTGATTAATTTTGGGCATATTGAGTTTAAAGTTCCTCTGGACGTCTAGGTGGAGCTGTCTAGTAGGCATTTGGATATAAGATTCTGGATTTCAGGAAAGTGATACCAGGTAGAGCTAAAGGCTTGGGCATTTTCAGTGTGTCTGAGTCAACAGTAGTTTTGGGTATGGATGAAATTACATACAAACAGTATGTGGAATAAGAATATATGTGGAGGAAGGATGAAAATTTATATGATAGTATCATACTATTTATTCATTTTTTAGTCAATTTTCTTTTTAGTCACAAAAACTATTTCAATTTTTTTTTTAAGAAAACTCCCTCCATCCTTTCCCTAACACATTGCAATGTCTGGTTCTTTGGTCCCTTTTTCCTCTTTGTCCCTGCTTTATCAGGTAGTGCATCTTCCTTCTTCCATGTGAAACCTGGCCCCAGGCCAAGGTTAACTTCTCCACAACAATTCAACAAAAGCTATTTTCTACAAATCCAGTTTCTACCTATAAATGAATCAAACCACTGTGAAGAAGAGAAAATATTTCATCATTACATTTGTCTTGGTGGGTACTGTGGATTCTTTCAAAGTATCTGCACATAACGAAATATAATCCCCATTGACCTAACTCAATAATTACTATCCAGTATTGTAAATACAATCTTTCTGGTTTGACAGAATGATTTATAATTTTGTTTCTGTAAGAAAAAATATTTATTTATTATTAGCATAAAGTTAAGCATTATGTACACAAGAAATTTTTCCAAGTAACTTGAATCAAAATGTAAAAATTAAGAAATACTGCTGCTCTTGCAATTTTGTAAAGGCAATACTTACTGCACTACATTTTAAATTCCATATTTAAAAAAAAAATCCTGTCGTCATCAAGTTGATCCTGACTCATAGGAACCCCATGTGTACAGAATATAAAATTATTTTTTCTTCTGGCCCCAAAGTTATAGTTATACACTTATTATTGTACTTTTCTTTAAGTCAGTATTCATGAACAGCCTTTCAATGTGTAGAGCGCTGTTTACCGATTCACTAAATGATACTAGACTTTTGGATTCTATATATTTGAAAGTGGACAAATACTAGTCTGATTTTTATTATTAAGATTTTATCTTCCCATTATAAATGTATAATGGGAATAAATTTTACCTGTTTAGTACGGGTGGTGGGCATTCCTTACCACATACCATTGCACTTTGGGTAACCAAGGATCCAACTTTCTGTTTTAGTGATTGGAAATGGAAGATTGAGACATACACATCCTGAATCACTGAAGTGGGGGTAGGGTGGCTGCTGTCCGTACAAGGAAGTTTGGATAAGTAGGTATCATTCTACCAGACAACTTATAGTGATATGCAGGAACATACAGACATGTGGAGCTTTCATGGGAAAGGAATTCCAATTTTTGTCCTTC